AGAAGAAAGTTCAGCCTAAGAAGTCTCTGGATACCATAGAGTCTGATATTAACAGGCTGAAAGATAACATCTCTTCAGAACATTCCATATACAAAACATTAAAATGTTATAGCTTATCAGATTTAGGCACTCTCTACTCTTTGAGTCAAAATAATTCAGGATTGATTTACAACGTATGTTCCTCTTTCTGTTTAACATTTTCCCCCAAATACCATCAGAACAAATCTGAATCCAGTAATAGAGAATTTATAATTGTTCCATTTAATTGCAAATTCATTGATAATCTTAACCTAAAATCTATTTTCTCTGACACTTCAGTCATTGATTTGCTTCCCATTTTGATTCAGTCTTTTACACCATTACAGATTTATTATGAGTATAATGATCCTATAAGTCTTTCTATTTGTAACTATGCTTCATTCTTAAAGAAACTTTCTATTTCTGATATTAAATCTATTTTAGGTAGTCCATGCGATTGTCACTCCTCCCCTTTCAATTATCCTCCTCATGGACATGTAGTTACTGGTAATTTAGATATTGTTGATAATGTTGAACTCAGGGAAGTACTTTCCTACGGTTGTAAATACAGGATTCCCACATTTAAATCTCCAGATGAGATATATATGTCAGTTACCGAAGCTGTCGATAAATTTATAAAATCAAAAAGTAGAAAGTACTGTCAAAAAGAAGTAAAGTTCAGCGATTGGAAGGAAAAAGTGTTATCAATAGTTTCCAATCGTATTGAATATTACAAGAAAAACTTTCCTGAAACATTTGAAATAAAAGAAAACACACTGGAAAAAGATGATGTTAAAAGAAGTCTTAAATTGCTGAAAAGTAAATACATTATTTGTAGTATCGACAAAGCTTCTGGTAATTTTTCATTTATTTGTAAAAAGTTTTATGTAAAAACTCTTGTCAATGAAATGGGTTTTGATCCTAATACTCTAGAATGTATAGGTAATGATACATATAAACCCTGTAGCGAAGACGAGACTCATTATGTCAATAAAATATCTGAGAGTCTAAAGGAGAGATTTAATGTACAAGTTGAAGATAAAAACTTGCGACTAGCACGCATCTTCTGGAACCCTAAGCTTCATAAGAACCCTTACAAGGCGAGGTTCATTGCAGGTGCCCGTTTTTGCGTTACGAAACAACTTAACGTCCAAGTTAACTGTTGTCTGAAACTTTTGAGGAAATACTTCAAGAAATACTGCGAGGCAATCTACAACAACAGCGGTATAAACATGTTTTGGAGCATAGATTCCTCAAGTGAATTCCTTGAAGCTATCAAAAATAGCGATGTTTATAATATACAAGTATATGATTTTACTACTCTTTATACCAGACTAGACTTGATTGAAGTAGAGAATATGATTAATGAAGTTGTTGATTTAATATTTTCAGACCGTAATAGATATATTTGTATTTCTAAAAGAGACAGTAATACATGTTTCTTTTCCAATAAAACCTATGATTCTCATGCCTGCTTTAGTCAAGATGACCTAAAAGAGGCTGTTAAATTTATTATTTATAACACTTATGTCGTCTTCGGTGGGATTGTATTCATACAAACCAAGGGTATTCCTATGGGTGGAAATTCAAGTTCCCCTATAGCTGATCTCACTGTTGGCAAAAAGGAATTTAATTATATGAAACGTTTACTTCAGGAAAAGAAAATGGGATTAGCAAAGATATTATCCAATAATAAACGATATGTTGACGATTTACAGGGTGGCCCATAAGTGACTACCCACACGCAACCTCTTAATAACTCACGTAATTTGTCTCCAAATTGCACCAAAATTTCAGAGATTATAGATATGGGTCAAACTTAGATTTCCTGAAAGTTTCGTAAGCCACGCCCAATTACAGTGGGCGTGGCGTGACACTCCCTCTTTTTCACTATTGTCTTCATAAAATGAGAACACTTTAAGCTAAGAACTCAAACTTTTTTGCACACATTTGGCTTGATAATTGAAAACTTTTCCCAAAGTTTCAAGTTCATTGGTTAAAATATGGCTAAGTTATGACCATTTCAAAACTCATCGGATACGTGATCCGAGCACTCAGTCAGTGATCTCGTCACTTGGTTAATGGCCTGTTTGGCTCACATGCACCGCTTGATTGGTTGCAGCCTGCTTATGGGCCGGCCTATACACTTATACAGCTGACAGCACCTAAAACGCTATCACACGAATTTATGGTGGTGTCACCATTTCAGGGCTTGTTAGCCCTGCTAGTCAGAGGTTCCTTACAATCAATAAAAAGGAATGAACCATCCATTGAATCATCGAAAATGGTTCACTATCCTCCCTTGACTGCAGAACAACGATTGTTCGTCTACCTGAAGAAAGAAAATGGGGTGTTCTACCCTCAGATTAAACGACAATTTCAGATGAAATTCAACCGATCACCCCCTTGCCGGAAAAGCTGCTTTGACATTCATAACAAGATCAAGTTTACATTTTCTGCACACAATCGGCGAAGAGTCGGCAGAAGACGAACTTCGAGGACTGTAGAAAACATCACGATGGTTGTTGGTGACGTGATGGACACACCTAAGATTGGCACCCGGAAACGAGCTCCTGCCTTAGACATCAGCAGAACAACCCTTCAGCGAATCCTAAAGCAAGACCTTTCTAACCGGGCCTACCGAATCACAAAGAAACACAAACTTTTGGACCGTGATTTTTAATCGAGGATAGATTTCGCCAACACATTCCTGTCGAAGCAGAATGTGGATCCCTACTTTGAGGTTGATTTCATTTATTGATTTATCCTAAAAATTTGTGTTTTCCTTTCTAGCAAAGTCATCATCGGTATCCAATCAAAGCCTAATGAACCTCATTAATACACGCTAACGCCTTACTCTTGATCAGATTGGGTGACGAGATCACTAATTGAGTGCAAATATCACTGACTGAGTGCTCGGATCACATATCCGATGGATTTTAAAATGGTCATAACTCAGCCATATTTTAACCAATGAACTTGAAACTTTTGGAAAAGTTTTCAATTATCAAGCCAAATGTGTGCAAAAAATTTTGAGTTCTTAGCTTAAAGCGTTCTCATTTTATGAAGACAATAGTGAAAAAGAGGGAGTGTCACGCCACGCCCACTGTAATTGGGCGTGGCTTACGAAACTTTCAGGAAATCTAAGTTTGACCCATATCTATAATCTCTGAAATTTTGGTGCAATTTGGAGACAAATTACGTGAGTTATCAAGAGGTTGCGTGTGGGTAGTCACTTATGGGCCACCCTGTATCTATTATTAACTACCTTTACTTTCATAAATTGATTAAAGATATTTATCCTAATTCATTGGAGATGGAGCGAGCTGGTTCCAATAATAAAATCATTAACTACCTTGATTTAAATATTAATATTTCCACAGAAGGACTAGAAATATCAGTGTATAACAAAACTGATGATTTTAATTTTCATGTTGTATCCCTTACATTTCCTCACAGTAACATCCCAACCGAGGTTGGCTACAACGTTTTTTCAAGTCAAGTTCTTAGATATGGTAATGTTTGCACTAGATTGGATATCTTTACCTCCCATCTTCACAAAATATTCAAAATTCTAATTGATAGAGGATATAGCCGTGATAGACTGATTAAAGGCATTAAACGTTGTCTGAGGAAATATGATAACGTTTTCAGGAAGTTCGGTATTCTAGATGACCGTAACATTATTAAAGAACTCCCCTGATATCTTTTGATTTATTGAAACACGGGTACTAACTCTGCTAAACTGAACAAATTCTGAAACTTAGGTGAATAAGTGTACAACGTGCTAAACCGAAGTTCAGACTGACCAGTGAAAATGGGCGAGCGTACCAAATGTCATTTTAATTAAAAGTTTTAGTCAGTGATTTATTATTGAAGCTTGTAATTACAATATCTAATACTCCTATAAATACTTTAATTAATTGTTTGTCCCGTTATTCTTTTTCCTTCCTCTTTTCCTTGTCATCCCCTTTAGTTTTAAGATTCTTGCTATAAATGGCTACAGCTAACACTATTAATGCTAAGTACCAAACAACAAGTGGGAGGTGGATCGTTGGTACCATTAAATCGATTTAACACCGCAATTCCAGTCGCAAGCCTGGGACCACTACTAGCATAGTCACAACATCTACAAAGCTGCCATATAGCCTGACTGACAATTTTCTCGACTGACTGACAATGTTTCTTCTTTTTCCCCATTTAGAATACAAAGATTAGTACATTTTAGCTTATGATTAATATTATATTTTTACCTATAGTTTACCTAGATTTTTAAAATAGACAAACACTGTAATGGACACGACACTATATACAGCAAAGTGAACTGGCAAGAAGTGCACTGACAGAGTGTATCTATACGGTCTGAATTGATTTAAAATGCTGCAATTTTAATAGACTATTGTCCTATCATACAGCAACGAATTTATTTCACAATGATACTATGTCATTGTTCGAATGAAGATATATTTTAGTCAGGGAAAGAGTAATAAACCCTGTGAATAAATTCGTAGCAAAGGTTTTTCTGCAGGAATGTGTTGTCCATAGTTCCAGGACCAGGGGCGTATGGGTGCCTGGAGAAAAATTGCTCTAAAACTTTTAGCTCCAACATTTCAGCTGGACGGTTTTTTGTGGTTCCTGGGACTATGGACAACACAATCCTGTAGAGAAACCAATGTTACGAATTTATTCAGAGATGGTCCCATAAAATTCTATTCTTGCCCTATACTCGCCCTATTATACTAACTATATTCCTAATTCTGCACGAAGCTTTGAAGTGAGCGTCCACATTTCGACAAGTGAACCACAATTATACTTACCGTATTCGCTTGTTTAGACAGTGGTCTGTTTTATCAAAACTAGCTATTTCAAGCTCAATTAATTCAAACCTTCCATCAGAAACAGATATAATAATATATAAGATGAATAAATATAATGATATATAAATCAATAAATATAAATAAACAAATATACAATATTTTCAGAACAGATATGTGAATCAGTATTGTTTGGGTCCCCAATGCTTCTAATACCATCAACTCATTGGACAATGGAATGGGACACACTCGAGGAGAATCAACATAACTTTGCTGCTTTTTGTAAATCTCTCTCAGAATCAGTGAGTGTTTTTTGAAAAATGTTTTAAAAAATGTTTAAGTTGCTCATATGGAATTCATGTTGTGATATCTTAAAATTGGCACATAGAAATTTGCCCAAACTTGCACAGATTGTCCGTCCTATTGCCATGATAGTACCTGGAAAGTTTCAAGAAAATCGTATATTTGGAACTCCAGATATACATGTCTGGGTTCCGCTACGAACCTGCGAACCGCCAATTTGGAGATATCGTCTTGTGTTTGAAGTAATATCTTAAATTGAGGTGTTCTTGCAAATTGTACATAAAAGTGTAAAAGTGTGCAAATGTCGCCCCTTGTCGCCCCTAGTTTATTCTCAGAATTGTACTAAAGATCGCCTCACATGCCGAAGGTGCCGAGTTCGAATTCGGTTTCATGCACTATTTTGAGTACTAACTGGGGCGAAATTTCGGGCACAAATGTTTCCGCGATCTCGGGAGTTGGACTTTCTGTACCAAACTGTACCATGGTACAATATTTGACGAAAGTCGATTATCTCGAGATCTGAATGATAGAATTTCTTTAAACTTTCCAGATAGTTACATGGCTATAAGACGGATAGTCTGAGTAATTTTGGGCAAATTTCTATGTGCCAAACTTGAGATATGGCTTCAAACACACGAAAACATCTCAAATCCTCTTCCTCCTCCATTTCCCCCTCCTCCTCTTCCTCAGTCCTCCTCAGTCCTCCTCAGTCCTCATCCTCCTCCTCCTCCTGAGTCTTCTTCCTCCTGAATCCTCCTGAGTCCTCCTCCTGAGTCCTCCTCCTCCTCCTCCTCCTTCTCCTCCTCGTCCTCAGTCCTCCTCCTCCTCCTCCTCCTCCTCGTCCTCAGTCCTCCTCTTCCTGAGTTCACCTCCTCCTGAATCGTCTTCCTCCTCCATCTCCTCCATCTCCTCCTCCTCCTCCTCCTCCTGAGTCTTCCTCCTCCTGAATCCTCCCGAGTCCTCCTCCTCCTGAGTCCTCATCCTCCTGAGTCCTCCTCCTCCTGAGTCCTCCTCCTCCTGAGTCCACCTCCTCCTGAGTCTTCTTCCTCCTACACCTCCTCCTCCTCCCTCTCGTCTTTATCAGTTCTCCTCCTCCTCTTCCTCCTCCTCCTCCTCCTCCTCCTCCTCCTCCTCGTCAGTCCTCCTCATCCTCCTCCTCCTCATCAGTCCTCCTCTTCCTCCTCCTTCCCCTCCTCAGTCCTCCTTTCCCAGTCCTACTCCTCCTCCTCCTCAGTCCTCTTCCTCCTCCTCAGTCCTCCTCCTCTTCCTCCTCAGTCCTCATCCTCCTGAGTCCTCCTCCTCAGTCCTCCTCAGTCCTCCTCCTCTTCCTCCTCTGTCCTCCTCCTCCTGAGTCCACCTCCTCCTCCTCCTCCTCCTCAGTCCTCCTCCTCCTCCTTCTCCTCAGTCCTCCTCCTCGCCAGTCCTCCTCCTCCTCATCAGTCCTGCTCCTCTTCCCTCTCCTCTTTCTCAGTCCTCGTCAGTCTTCCTCCTCCTCATCAGTCCTCCTCCTCCTCCTCCCTCTCCTCTTCCTCAGTCCTTCTCAGTCCTCCTCCTCCTCCTCCTCCTCGTAAGTCCTCCTCATCCTCCTCCTCATCAGTTCTCTTCTTCCTCCTCCTTCCTCCTCCTCCTGAGTCCTCCTCCTGAGTCCTCCTCCTTTTCCTCCTCCTCAGTCCTCCTCCTTTTCCTCCTCAGTCCTCCTGAGTCTTCCTCCTGAGTCCACCTCCTCCTGAGTCCTCTTCCTCCTACACCTCCTCCTGAGTCCTCCTGAGTCATCTTATCCTCCTGATCCTCCTCCTCCTCCTCCTCCTCCTCCTGATCCTCCTCAGTCTTCCTCAGTCCTCCTCAGTCCTCTTCATCCTCCTCATCCTCACCCTCTTCCTCAGTCCTCCTCATCCTCCTCATCCTCCTCCTGATTCTCCTCAGTCTTCCTCTGTCCTCTTCCTCCTCCTCAGTCCTCCTCCTCATCCTCCTCCTCCTCATCCTCCTCCTCCTCATCCTCCTCCTTCTCATCCTCCTCCTCCTCAGTCCTCCTCAGTCTTCCTCAGTCCTCTTCCTCCTCCTCCTCCTCCTTCTCTTCCTCTTATAGCCATGTAACTATCTGGAAAGTTTTAATAAATTCTATCATTCAGATCTCGAAATATATATACCTGAGTTCTGCTAGAAACCACCAATTTGAGATATTTTCTTGTGTTTGAAGTCATATCTCAAGTTTGGCATATGGAAACTCGCCCAAAATCGCAAAGATTATCCGTCTTCTAGCCATACAACTATCTGGTAAGTTTAAAGAAAATGTATCTTTCAAATCTCGAAATATATGCCTGCATTCCGCTACAACGCGCCAATTTGAGATATTTTCTTGTGTTTGAAGTCATATCTCAAGTTTGGCACATAGAAATTCGCCCAAACTTGCAGATATTATCTGTCTTATAGCCATGTAACTATCTGAAAAGTTTGAAAAAGTTCTATCATTCAGATCTCGAAATATATGCCTTTGTTCCGCTGGAAACCGCCAATTTGGAGATATTTTCTTGTGTTTGAAGTCATATCTCAAGTTTGGCACATAGAAACTCGCCCAAAATCGCACAGATTATCCGTCTGATAGCCATACAACTATCTGGAAAGTTTAAAGAAAATTTATCATTCAGATCTCTAAATATATACCTGTGTTCCGCTAGAAACCGCCAATTTGGAGATATTTTCTTGTGTTTGAAGTCATATCTCCATTTTGGCATATAGAAATTCTCCCAAACTCTTACTCATTATCTGTCATATAGCCATCTAACTATCTGGAAAGTTTAAAGAAAATCTATCAATCAGATCTTGAGAAAATCGAAAATATATTCTAAGTTATTCACTAAAACACTCGATTTTCGACCATTCCATATGGTACAGTTTTGTCGAAAGTCCTTCTGGATCTCGGATTTATCTTCTGTTTTTTGTAGCGCGCAATAACATTTTTTTGACTAAGTACTAAAATGTCATTTGTCACCATGACAGAAAGTGGCGACAACAATGACGCCGCGCAGAGTGCTTTGTTTTCGATATGGCAGATCCGACTTCCAAACTCGGAAAAATGTCAACTCACTTCAATAAATTCCACAATGTCAAAATATGGGAGCACTTGTTCACAGAGCTGCATGAGCATTCGCAGCGTATTCTCGTTAATATCTGAAATCAAGACCAATCGCTTTTTGCAGAACAGTGCGTTACTCTGCCGTAATTCTGAGGAAGTGGAGGGACTGTTCTTGATTCTTGCCGAGACTGACGGAACTGCTCTTATAAAGCCGATAGTCTGCAGCGAATTGTTACTCCCGAAGCCCAACATTCCCCTGATTGTTCAATTATCAGACGAAACTACCCAATTAGTAGGTAAATTAATTAATTCTCAGGTACTATCGCTCATCGCTGTGTCAGATATATATCAGGCAAACTGATGATAACGAATTGCTGACTTTGCATTTTTGATTTTTAAACATTACAATATTCCTTTATCAGACGATTCTCTGAAGAAATTAGAATTATCTGACGAATCTTTCTCTCCTTTGGATCACTCAGCCAACTTACACGAGTGTTTGATACGAAGGATGGAACCCAGAAAACGCAAACTCTTAAACGACTCATCCTCTGTAAGATTTGCAGATACTCAAAATTAGATCTTAAAGCGATCTTGATTCTTGATCAATAAACACAGTTGAACGTTCACCAGAAGCGACAATAATAAACTGACTCCAATAATTTCAGAATTTATATGAGGTACCGTACAATCAAAATCAGAACGCTGCTCATGCTACACCAGATAAAATCACGAATACGTTCAGATACAATGCTCCGACTTTTGACGATAGTCCTTACTGTAAGTCAATTTGTGGGAGCAAATACCTAACGTTCTGTGTTTATTTATAACTTCCTATTTACTTTAGTACTAACGAAATGCTGTGCTGACTGCTGAATCATTCAGCAGTCAGGTAGGTATTTACTATTTAGTGTCAACTTTCCTCTACTTCGTTTCCCAAGGAGATACTATGAATACCATAAAGATACCATAAATATGACATTCAATTATTTAAATGCAAAATTTTAGACTATGGGAACTGCTCTCTAATGGTTATTTAAATGTGAATTGAGCAATGAAATATGGAATAAATGACCGTAAAGAAATTAGCAGCGAGTAATTTCATTTAGTGAGGCATTTCTTCTACATCTTTTCAAAAATGTTTATGAGAATATCAATGAAATGCATGCGAACTGCAGTATACCTCGCGTCGTCTGTTATATACCTCCACAATAAAGAATACATTTAATTTTAAATCTATCGGCCTTTGGCATTCGTGAATCGTTATTAAGCAATGATCCAGTGATACAAGGTGTGCGTACAGAATAATTGAAATTACTACAATGTGCATATCTTAATCTTATTGTATTATTATTAGACCATTTGCATCATAAGGATAGGTTACTGGTAGGCTATCCATTATCGGAATGAAATTTTTTATCTAGATAAACAGATAAAGATTTAGGTTTTATCTAGATAAAACCGATAAAACCGATAATTTTTCTGCTGAAGGCCAAAGCCAAAATGTTTTCCAAATTTCGCAAAAACTAATTGTCGACTTTTATTACTGTTTACCAGTAATCTTGCTAAAGAACCACTTCCTTTCTTTTGAAAATATTAGAGCATTAGTTTTCTTCTCCGGGGAGCAGAAGTACACCAGTTTTCTTCAAAACAGTAGACCAACGGTTTTCTTCTCCTAAGAACAGTAGTGTACCAGTTCTCTTCAAAACAGTAGACCAACGGTTTTCTTCTCCTGAGAACAGTAACGCACTAGTTATCTTCAAAACAGTAAGTAGACTACCGGTTTTCTTCTCCTGAGAACACTGAACAGTAACGCAGTAGTTATCTTCAAAACAGTAGACCACTGGTTTCCTTCTCCTGAGAACAGTAACGCAATAGTTCTCTTCAAAACAGTAGACCACCGGTTTTCTTCTCCTGAGAACAGTAACGCACTAGTTCTCTTCAAAACAGTAGACCAAGGGTTTCCTTCTCCTGAGAACAGTAACGCAATAGTTCTCTTCGAAACAGTAGACTACCGGTTTTCTTCTCCTGAGAACAGTAGTGCACCAGTTCTCTTCAAAACAGTAGACCAAGGGTTTCCTTCTCCTGAGAACAGTAGTGCACCAAATACCAATTCTCCTCGAAACAGTAAAGCATTTAAAGTGATTCAGTGAACCGTTTTCTTATCCTGTTGATAACTTGGAGCAACAGATTCCTTCTCCTGAAGACAATGTTTCACGCCCAGAACACTTACGGAATTCAATTGAGTGCCCTGCTGGTATTTTTGACTCTTGTTAACAGTAACATGCTCGTTCCCGTCTCCAGCATGGTTGTAAGGTAAAACGCCAGCACCCTCAAGAGAACAATGTCAATAACGGATAACCTTCTCTAGATTTCTACAGTTCATACAGTTCTACAGTTCCATAGGTATACAAATGTAAATAAACGTCTTAAGCTCACATCTAAGTGAACTACCTCTTCTATCATACTAAAAGACGTTTGGGACTGTTTCTTGGATTACTTGGGAAGGCAAAAACACTAATATTTCTTTACAATTTTACGGTATTGTGGCAGTATTTTCGGTAATATCTAGTGAATTTTTATACCGATAAAAATACGTTTTATCTAGATAAACAGATAACTTTTTTTAACGAATTATCGGAGATAATTATCGGTTCCGATTATCGGAGTGGATAGCCTAGTTACTGGGCGACGCTCAGCCTGTCATTCCGCAGAATCTCTATTGTTTATAGGTTTATGAACACAACTAGTGTAACACGTGCCTAGGGCCGGGACTTCACTATCGCAGTTGAAATGCAAAAGTATAAACCCGCCTATTATATTTGAAAACACGCATAACATTGTCGTATGAAGTATGAACTCTCTCTACAGTCCAAACTGACCACAATAAGTGCCCATGCCCCCGCCCCCCCCCCCAAATAAGCTTATAGTATTATCTTGTGGCTCACCTAGTTATAATTCATGTACCAACGCTACATAATATGCAGTAAAGGAAGAGAGAGAGAGCTAGGAAGGAGAAAAAGATAACCATTTTATGTTACATTTGTGGTACAAAACCATCAATTAAATCACTTACCACCGACCAATTTGAAAAACCTTACTCATTTGACTACGGCAGAGTTTTGTCGAAACTATATCGAAAAAACTAGTCCCGTAACTCTTACCGTTTTCTTGATTAAGCCGCTCGGAAATTACACGCGCACCGACAGACACACATCTTGAGATTGTTATTTAAGATAGCCGGGGGTCCCCAGGTAAAAGGATAGGATGAGCTGCAATTAAATCGGAAATTAAAAAGTATGGAGTCATGGATATTAAATGATATAGGTATTATATTACACTATAATAGATGGGGTATTTAAATCGAACGCTCCTCGAAAAATTATGAATTTTTCGACGCAGATCAGGTATTTAATCTGTAAAATTACAAAATTATTCCCAAATCGAAAATAGAGTCGTTCGTCACTCGTCAGCGATCAGAAATTAAATGTAATTCTATAGTCTGTTTTCTCTTGGTCAAGGCAATAATAATATGTAAAAACATGGAAAATCGCTCAAGAATCTGTTTAGTTGCTGTTTTTAGTTGCAAATTAATTTTTCGAAGGAAAATGACTCTGTTTGCGGAAAAATTATATTAAGAGATGGTAATGATTATACAAACAGATTGGATTGCTACAATATCAAAGCTCCTGGTAAATACGAGAATTAACTCTTTGTATTGGCACAAATTGCATAAATTTCACGATTATATATCGCATCATCCTCTTTTTGAAATACATTTAAAATTATTATCAAGGACACACAGATTTTAGATAAACTGGCAAATAAATTTGCAACCATGTCTGTTCAGATAAAGTTTTAAGGGAGGTAAACTGTTATCGTAGGTATTTCCCATTCCGAGACTGGGTACTGGGTAGGCTAACAGGCGAACTTCATCATGCCGTCCAGTTTCACACATTGGCAGAGTTTGCTGTTCATCTGAAAAGCCATCTGGGTTATAACCAAGAAAACAAACCTTGACAAATGTATTGATGTCATCGACGATTCATTGAAATTTCAGCCATTGCTATACCGGGTATATCCAAATCAGTAAAATTACAGCGTCATATATTGCGTACACTTATTATAAATGGGCTTGTTTATCAAAAGCTAGGCTTACCTGTATCACAGAATGCAGAGGGAAGACTTTATTAGAACTAGGATCTGTACATCCTGTTCCACCGTTATTCGCTCCTTGGAAAAATTTTGCGGACTTGACTCGCCCCTGAAATAGTATATTTGGTAAAAACTTACTAAAGATTTCGTTTAGACGGCACATAATATAATAAGTTGAGTCACTAAGTTAAGGCGTTTTGATTTGAGCCTGGAGCAAAAATAGCTATATGATAATTATTTAATTCTCTCGAAATATAATCCTCTTGAAGTTATTCTGAAACAAAATCATTAGTAAAAATATTTGATATTGAATATGCTAACAATTTAACAGTTTTTACCCTGATGTTTGATGCAAATACAGAGTCTCTTCCTGCTCCTCCCAATCGAGCACACTCTGATCCGACCAACAGGACTGCTACTGTTACCATCACCAATATCGTTGCTTTGCTGCCGAACATCTTCTAGGTTGATAGCTGTATTTGCCTTAAATTATTAACTACGAACATGTGGATTAAGTTTCCTTTATTTTCATTGATATGTTAAAATCTTAAAGCAACTTTGCTTTAAGAGTTTCATCAAGCTTTTTTAACAGTATTGATAGCTGCAGTAACAAAATATGCTAATCTCTCGTCAATAACAACCAAGCTATTATAGCCCGGTGATCAGAAGGAAACTTCTGACGGTAGTCAAATGAACTGCTGAGAGTGCTGTTCATATCTATTTACCAAGCATTTTATAGTCTAAGGCGGTCCAATAACCATCATGTTAAGTAGTTGCTTGATCTCGGAAAAGATGTCGAAATAATTGTGACATAACCGCATAGTCAAGTGAAATAACCGCATATATAGTCAAGAATTTTCACAAATCTACGTTACAGACAAAGTCAAGTTCATAATTATAAACCGGGCATTTTCTCAATATTTCCAGTGGTGCAATTTCACAGGATATGACTGGTTGGCTTGAAGATCACTCAAAATAACTGCTAAATAGCAAACTAACTTGAAAATGAACGCCAAACAATAAACAGCATATAAAATGTTGGGATAATAAATTATGCAGTACTTAAAGCGAGCTCCAAGTACTTGCAGGAAACAAGCCTCTCTCGTGACGACTCAAATACACTTTTATGATAGGTCCATTTCGAGTTCTCCGTTTTATACTGAACTATCCAAGCAATTACGCTGACTATTATTTACCGTACAGACTACTGGACCACCGGACTGGTTTGGTTAATTCCCTGTTCGCATTTTAAATCATAAAGCTGGATGTGGAACCTACAGAAACTTACGAAGCCTTCTGCCGCCCACTAAGTTACTTAGTGGGCGGCGGAAGGCTGTTTCTCCCCCGAATATTCGAGGATAAAAATAACGAAGCCTGAAGTGCTCTGGTGAATCAAAACCAAACAATCGAGCAGAGTAAATATAATAAAGTGCTGTGAACGCTGAACAAAGAACATATCTCGATGATAGTGAGATAATAAAGCGACACGGCGTACGACAGGACAATGATTGGGAAATATAATTATCCAAATTAGTTACAAGGAAAAAGTGAAATTTATAATTTAGTAATTTCGTGGCGAACGCAAATAACAATTGGTTTGTTGAAGTGTCATCATGCAACATAAT